TACATACATACATACATACATACATACATACATACATACATACATACATACGTACATACATACTTACATATGCGAGAGTAGGGACACAGCGGCAACAACTGTCAGAGGCAACAACTTCCAGCAGCTTCGGTAGCTGACTTTTCTATACAGCTGCGAGTACTGGTTATTTTAAAAGTTCCTTTCCTGAAAGGCCAATCCTTTCCTGACAGCATTCCTTCCGTGCGTTCCACCTGGAGCCGTATTCATTTTAAGTTGCCCGTTACGCAGACATGAGTTATACGTTATTTGACATACTCCTGCCTTTGAAAATGTTGTGATGACAATTCGTTATTGACAGCTTATTCTGTTAAGTGAATCGCATTCTTTCAGGATACGCAGATTCAGTTCATACGTGGTCCATCATCGGCATTTTCAAAACGCAGTGTTGATGTGCATTCTGATATCCAGTGCCTTACTTGCCGCTGAAGACCCTCTTTACACAAAGTCATTTCGAAACGAAGTAACCTTTGTTTTTGTTCCGATTGCTCCTTAATTATTATCCTCATCGTAATTCACTCGAGGCCTTCTTAAATCTTCAGAAGCAACTAAATATTGTTTTTTTACTTTTGGCTTAAAAGTAGTTCAGCCGCAATGAATAATCTGGTAAAATTAGAGCTTAGACCTACATTTCGAATACCTGATCCCAATGTTCTGGGGTAGACTTCACGAGTGAGGATAGGGGAGGGCTTTTGACCGCCGTCAAATATATATATTAAAGTGGATGATATTTTATGATACCGAATGGAAACAGCAAAAATGCAGAGTGTACAAAAATGTCGTTCTACTTTCCAGCAACAGTATTATCGTACCATCCCCTTGCATATAATCGTCTAGGAGGCGTTTAAGCAGACCACGGCTTTATGGTGTTTAAGCAGGCGGCGGTTCAAGAGCTCAGTATCTTTATTTGAATGTAATATTAAACGTACATCATATTCAATTTTACAAAAATACAATAATAAATGTAATTCACCAACTGAAGGGATTAAAGTATTATGGGCTAGTGCTAACAGCGGTATTAAATCAAATGTTCTTGATTTTAGGCATTTGCGAAGCGACGAGTATAGCTTTCATGATATATTCATTAAACATAATTCCCTTCATCTTGCCATGAACATGACTTCCTGTTTCTCTGATGAAGAGTTCTATTGCATGCTTCTTGGAAAAGAACTCAGAGTAGCCCCCCTCCCCCGTTCTTCCTTCCAAATTTTCGTTCGGTGTCCTGACTTAGGTGGAAACAGATCTGACAATTTCAACTACCTTGACCTCGTTAATCTCTCTTTAAGGGGTTCACTATCTGCCGCCACGACTAACGTCTGAACACCATACTTTCCAATGTGTCTTGACGTGCCAACTATGTTCTTTATCCGGTAATTATCAAGGAGACTAATTTATTAATTGAGAACTATTCATTCATATAATGATAAAACTGCACATAACTTAAGGAAAAACTAACCACTGCACTGTTGTTCGAACTTTGGCTGTCAGTTTTACCAATCCGTTAATCACTAGTGCGACAGTTATACCAATCTTTGGTCGAGTGTACCTCAATATATCAAGATATTTTGATCACGCCTTCGTAGATTCTTTGGCAATTCCTACTGTTCATTAAAAATGCATTATGGTATAAACGCCTGCGTTCGATACTTAAGTGAATCTGAAATAATTCATATTACACGATCAGAAAATTCGTGCCGGGATATGTTTTATTATGTATTGCGCAAAAATGACATGGATGTACTTAAATGTATCCATATGCACATATGCATTATGTTCGATCTTTGCATTATGCGGAATTTAATGAAAATTCATTTAGGTGCTAAACTATTTTGATTACTTCTTCACTACAGTCTTCACTGTGGAAATATCCTTGAAAGTAACAAAATGAAGGCTTTATGTAGCTATATGGTGATACGTCGATCTCGCTTAGATATTGACGTCTGGCTTTGTATTGCACAAAGGTTCGTTTTGTCGCAATGCGTCCAATTTGCTTGACCTTTTGGTGGTGCTGGTGTCGCTGATGTCCTTTGGTTTAAAGTATGTTTTGGGATATGTAAATACGCTGATGCGTTTGGTTTAACGTTGTTTTACGGTAGGAGCGGTGCAATCAGCGTGGTCAAGATCCTACGGGTGCTACGAGTGCTGCGGCCTTTGAGAGCCATCAATCGTGCGAAGCGTTTGAAGGCACAGTCTGTTGTTTGAGCATCTGCTAATCGAATTTACCGGCCATGTTTTAGCACGTTGTTCAGTGTGTCGTCGTGGCCGTCAAGACCATGGGCAACATTCTGCTGGTGGCGTTCATGCTGCAATTCATGTTCGCAATCATCGGCGTACAATTGTTCAAGGGTGCCTTCCATTCGTGCACTGATTCAACGAAATCTACTGCTGAACAATGTCGGTAGGAAAGCCGTGTGTGTAGTATAGGTTATATTTTATTGCCTTTTATTTAAATTCCAAAGTTTTAAGCATCTTACGAGAGAACTGATATAGAAGAGAAGTTGCTGTGAGAGAATGCGAAATGCGAGGATAAAAGAAGGAAGAAAAGCAAAGCGGGAAGGGAAAACAAGTGGAAGGAGAAGGAAATGGAGAATAAGAAGGAGAAAAAAATGAAACCTTAAAAAAGAGAGAGAAGGACAGCGAGAAGAGGAAGGAGAACGATCTGGATAAGAGAAGCGAGTGGAAAAGGAAAATTGAAAGTTGAAGGAGGAGCAGGACAAAGATAAGCGGCAAAGGGAGGAAGCAAAGTAAAAATAAAAATGATAACGGATTGAAACCGCAAATGCACAGTGTAAAGAAAGTTTCTCACTTTACACCAGCAGCTCTCTGTGCCGACCACTGGCGTCTAGACTTCTAAGTGGACCGTTTAAGCAAGCCACGACTCAGTAGTGCTTGAGCGCCTGTAGTGCATGTTTTTAATGTGATACATTCATCGGCAGTATCGATAGATTCGCAGAACATCTGATTTCCATTTTGTCACTCTTTCTCTTACGGATCGTGGCAATGTTCATTGTTTGAAATACTTTTTTTCTCTCTGCAGGAGCTTAAATATCACAGAGACGTAGCATGCTTAAATGGTCCCCCTAGGGGTCTAGGAGCAACGGGGTGGTACAACGAGTAGCTAGTGTAAAGTGAGAAATTGGTTTTTCTCTTTTGCCATTGTGCATTCCTCGTTTCAATCCGGCATCATTATTATTTTTACTGTGATATGTGCAGCGGCGGTGTCGATAGTTCCCAGAAAATTTGGCTTCCATTCTGTCACAGTTGGAAATGAAATTGAAAATGATGAAAATATGAACAGAAGATGAGAGAAAAATATGGCTAAAGTAATGAATGATGAAAAGTATTTTTTTGGCACAAAATTTCAATTAGAGCGAGTGTTCATTCTTTGAACATAAGTGAATATAAGTCAAGTATGATTAGTTTTAGCCCCTTGTTTCATTATGCGGAGTCCTGCAAAGCAACTTTAGAGGTGATCGAATTTAACCCTAAATCCTGACAGTTAGCACGATTATTTAATCTGACGAAACAGTGACATTCGTTGGGAATCGGCGGAAATCGAGTGGTCTCGTTTGATTTGATTTTATATTTCCTCCTAGTTGTTGAAACTGGGTGTTCCGCCT